CATAGTGACCTATTTTTTATGTTTTAGATCAGTGTTTCTCAAACTGGGGTCCCCGACACAAATGGGGATCGTAAGGCTATTGTAGAGGGATCGCGAGATCATAAAAAATATGTCGTGGAAGCAACTTGTGACTTGTTTCGCTTTTATAGACAGAGATTAAGTTGCATACTATTCCAGTTGCCTGTTTTGATACATTGTAATAACTTTCTATAAATAGAAATAAATTCACGTGTTTCTTCAAGTATTCGTAATGGAAGGAAAATATTTGTTACCAGTTCTTATACAAGATCAGTAATGAAGAAGATCGTTAAAAGTAAATTCTTGATTTAAAACTATAAGCTTCCACAACTTAAAACAAATAAATTAGGATACGTAATTCAGTTGTGCAACTAGCTACTGAAAAGGACTCATATTATTTTCCAGATTTTCTGGCTGCATCTGAGTACTGCATATATATATAGAGAGAGAGATGGATGAATGGATGGATAAACAGTCTGGTGTATGCGAGAGTCATTACTATTGTATTAAGGTATGGGTACCACGTTCGTATTTTTATTTCACATCCATTTACAAGTGTAATTTCCCACTTAATGTGACATGCGTCATGCTTTGTTTTTTAACGTCAACATCTGTTCAACCCACAGTGTTGATTACTTTATGTAATATTGAACTTTGTTGATGTTACATATCCAAGGCCTTTTTATGTGATGCTTTTCAACACAAGCTCATAAACAAGTTGCAGTATTCACGAAAGTTCAATGACTTCAAACTGACTGAAGTACCTAACAAAAAATACACCAAGAAAGTATAAGAAGGTATAATCCACATGCAAAGTGAAATTTCCCTTCATATTCATATTAGGTAACATTAGGTAATTGTAAGAAAAAAGAGCTTCTGTTGTTGGAAATAAACCTTACTTTTTCCTCTCGTTTGCAGACGAAGTTGTACGAGATGGTTGAAAATTCATCAGACGATTTATAAACATCTCGATTGAGCTTCGATCATATACCCATAGCCGAAAAATTGAGAGTATTTTTACTATGTAGCTTGTTCTAAACATTTTATCAGTCACCTTAACAAAGACCTTTTTTGCATTTATTTCTTTTATTCACTTTTCAAGTGGTTATTTAGCCCAAACTAGTCCAAATACTTCTTTGTCTTTCTTGTGTATAACTCTCAAGGATCATTTCGTACAATTTACTATTGTTGTAATTTTATTACAGTCTTTAATCTAAAAGTCCTTTAAGCTGTTTGTATACTTTAAAAAAATCAGTGGAATAGTTGTACGTGCCCAAGTGACTGAATTGCAAGTTCCCTACTAGTGTTTCAGTGTTTAAGGACTTACTTCGTTTTCTAAGCTTAACATATGTTTTTTTATTTTATTTAAGTCACGAACGTTTTTACCTTTTTATTTGGTATCAATATTATTATTTATTTCTTCGCTAATTTTTCTATTCTATTGACTTCAGTTTTCGCTGTTTTTGTCTCATCAACGTGATACAGTGAAGTTGTATGTAATTCTCCGACATTGAATTAAGTACGTGTTACGTCTCCGTTTGTTAATTGATTTTCCGTAACTTCGTTCTGACGAAACTTTAGCGACACAAGTCTTTACTTAATAAAACTGGTTTATTCTTTCTGAATATAACTTTACCGATACACTTATTTTCAACAGTCGCTCTGTAACAAACGTTTTAACAACGAACGTTAACTTCAACAATACTTCTGAATGCAGTTCAATTACTCACTACCTACACACATATTATTCCCGTCACGTTGTGACCATCTTATATATACCAGACTACCCTATATCTAGTAATCTCCCGACAATTCACAAAGGTACAAGATATTTCCAGAAAGCAGGGGGCGTGACACTAGTCACGTGACCTCGCTGACGCAACATACTGTTACGTCTCCGTTTGTTAATTAATTTTCCGTAACTTTGTTCCGACGAAACTTTAGCGACACAAGTCCTTA